TAATTAAAAAAAATAAAAGAAAAGAAAAGAAAAAATAGGGGCTGGCAGGTGGTTAAAGGCAGTGGATTCCCACATAGCCAACCAAGGTTTGAGCTCGGACCTGGCAGCTTGCTTTCTTGCTTTCTCTTTCTCTCTCACTGATCAAATTAACAGATAATAACAATAAATGGAATTAAATGAATAAATCTTTAGGGGGACCAGCAGGTGGCATGGTGGTTAAGGCGCTGGACACCCCCATATGGCTGACCATGGTTTGAGTCCCGGACCTGGTGGCTTCCTTTCTCACTTTCCCCCCCTTCACCTCTCTGTGTCTCTCTCTGGTCAAATTAAAATGAATGAATGAATGAACAAAGGAATAAATAAATAATTCTTTAAAAAAAAAAGAAAAAGAAAAAAGAACTTGCAAGCAGTAGGGAATAGGAGGTGACTCGAAGGACTGACTGACAGGCTGGGAAGCACGGTGAAGGTGGCAAGTAGAGAATCTGGGCCTTTACCTGCTGGTGCGTCAGGTGCCCCAGCTCTTTGTACCCCAACGCCAGGACCCGGGCTCCTTCCCGGGAGATCTCGGTGTGGATGTGGTGGTAGTCGGGTGGACACTGGGCGAACTGTGGGGAATGCAGGGAGACATCACCGACTGCCCCACACCCTCTGAACACCTCCACACCAGGCTGGGCTAGCTCACCATGGAGTGCAGGGTTTCGGGGGCCCCCTTCACGGCGGCGATGTAGCAGAGGTCGGTGGAGCCAAGCTTCTCGTAGGAGGCGAGCACGGACATTCGCTTTAGGGCACTGGCAAAATGAAAGCGCTGGTGAATTTTCAGCCCCTGAGTTTTAATACTTCGGGGGAATACTTTCTCATCTGGAAACAAATAAGGACGAGTCCTGAGGGGCTTCGCTCCAAAGAGGCAGCCAAGCCCCCGCCTCTTCCCCGGCCGTCCCCCCGCCCTCCCCCCGGTTGCCCCCGGCCGTCTCCCAGCCCTCCACCGGATTCCCTCAGGGCCTGCTGGGGGCTCGGAGGCGGGAGACTTGGACACTGTGACTTCAGCCAGGGTGGGGCAGATTCCAACTCAAGGGGCGGTAGCCTGTCTGGGATCTGAGTGGGCCTGAGCTCACCCACCTGAGGGGACCTCGGCATGGTGGGCCCACCTGCCTGGCACTGTGAGACCTGGCGGCCGAGGCTCCAGCCCTCACCTTTGGTTAGCGTCCAGTCCACGGCTGTCAGCATGGCTTTCTCGAGGGGGTCACCCACCAGAGTGCCGTCATCGAGCTGCATGAGGGAGTGGCACGAGGCCAAGGCCCGATGTGTTTCTACGGGGATGTTGGACACGGGGGTCACCTCCTTCCCGTCTCTGCAGGGGGGACAAGAAATGGGCCCCTGTGGAGCGCTTCTTCTGTATGCAGTCATCAGTGGCGGGGGGCCACGTGGCATCTGTGTAAGACCTGCACCTGCCCCGTGGAGGCCCCCAGAAGCCAGGCAATGTATACTGGATGGAAACTGGACGGGTTGCTTTCAACTGAGACTCCCATGCTACCACCAAGACCCACCGCATGGGGAGCCCCAGGGAGTGGGCCTCAGAGAGGCTCTCACTGCTGGAACTTAGGCAGAGCAGGCTGTCTGTCCTCAACCTCCCAGAAACCCTTGCGCTAGGTGCATGGGACTCCCATGGCTTACCTCAGCCCGGCCACGCCACGCACCACTAGGCTGTCGCTGGTCAAGGTCCCTGTCTTATCGAAGCAGCAGACCTCGACCTTGCCGGCAAAGGGGATCCGGAAGGGCTCTGTGCAGTACATGTCTGGGGGGTGGGGGAGGGACAGGAACTGGGGTCAGGGGTCCCACCAGACTGCAGCTGGTTCAGCACCCCAAGCCCACCCGGAAGACTCACAGAGCTTGGCCAGGGCGATGAGGGAGGTGTTGACGGCCAGGGACAGCTCTATGGGCAGCTCTGGGGGCACGACCGAGGTCAGGATTAGGGTGCACTCCAGGAACAGCTTGTAGCGGTTCCGGCTGGGGTCCTTGGTGCCTGTGGAGACAGGGCTGCCAGCCTGGGGGCTGCAGGGCTGAGGCCTCGGAGGAGGGTTAGGGGCCGTGGGGGCTCACCTTCAATCCACACGTAGGCGGCGGCCGCGATGGCAAAGACCAGGAGGAAGAGGATGAAGATGAATGTCTCCAGGTTGTTGGCTGTTACTCTCTTGACCCCAAAGAGGATTGTGCGGAGCAGCTTGCCCTGGAGGGACAGAGGGATGGAGGTCTTTCCTGAGGGTAGCCTCCCGAGGCTGGAGTCCTTCCTTTCTTGATTACTGCCTGAGGCCCAGTGGGGGGCCTGTCACAGGGCGATCCCTTTTCCTCCAACCCTCCCCCCCCTGAGGATTTTGGGCGTTTGCCTACACACTGGTGTCCTTTCCAAGCCCCGGCCAGGATCTGAAATGTGGCTGGCCACATGGGACCCAGTTCTCAGTGCACAGCCGTTAACATGCTACAGGGCCAGGGCCCAAGGCTGAATTCTGTTACAAAAGGGCAATGCCAACCCTGATCAGTGGCACAGGGATAAAACGGGATGATCTGTGAAGCTGACCCATATGGGATGGTTCTGGATTTGAATCTCAGGACCTCCCTGAGGTACCAGGCATGTGTGGGCCCGTGATCTGGGATTGGCTGAGATGGGGGTGGATCAGTGTCAAGATCTGATTGGGGGTTAGCTGTCTGTCTGGCTGATACAAAACATAAGTAAATTGGGACCAGCAGTTAGCGTAATGGCTATGTCGCTGGACTCCCATGTAGACGACCGCGGTTCGCTTCCCGGACCCAGTGGCTTAAAACTCACGCTGGGCATGTGTGCATGCGTGCCCAAGATCCCGAGAGAATGGAGAAGGGATTGTGGCATGGCCATCCCCCCTGGGGGGGGGGT